GTGTGTGTGTGTGTGTGTGTGAGAGACTGTGTGTGTGTGTGTGTGTGTGTTTGTGTGTGTGTGGAGTGTGTGTGTGTGGAGTGTGAGTGTGTGTGTGTGCGTGTGTGTGTGTGCGTGTAGTGTGAGAGTGTGTGTGTTACCTGAGATATCTGAGCTCGCGCACACTCTCCTGAATCCTGCTGCTCATCTTCACTGATCTGAAAACAGATGAACAGAGTTTGTGTTTGGGTTCCTTCCAGAGTGACTCTCTGTCTCGATCTGAAGAAGCAGCTGCTGATGATGGGAGGGTCTGTCGGGCTGACAGCCAATCACAGCGCCGCAGGAGCGGGAGGAGGCCGCTGATTGGCTGACGCAATCCCTCACACTGAACCGACAGAATCTCACGACAGCGCTGTGTTTGCAGTATTATATCTCTGTGAATTATAATAATAATACTCTGCACTGATGTAGCCTTCACGCAAATGAGAAGATATTATTATTAAATATGAAACAAGGAACAGTTCCTCATCCCGTAGAAATGCAAATCTTGAACAATGTTCCTGTTGTGAAGCAGAGAAGCACGACATTATAGTTTTCATCAAGATTTTGAACGAGTTTTACGTTTACATTTTGTTTCAATTTTAAAGCTTTTGATATCTTTTTTATCTTTAATTGGTATTTATTTATTTATGTTTCTATAAGTTTTATTCATTTTATTTCAGTTTTAGTTATTAGTTAAATGAGAAATGTTGCCTTGGTAAATACCTGAAATAAGATTTAAACTTTTAACAATTTAATTTAAACTTTATTTCAGCTAGTTGCCACGGAAACATTTCTCTTTTTCATTGAGTTTAATCTAAACACAATAAAATAAACTAACTGAAATAAACTTTATTTTATTGTAGTCTTAGTTAACTAGTTCTAATAGCTCTGGTCTGATCTGTGATGAGTGTAGGACCGGTGTGAGGACTAGTGTGTGAGGACTAGTGTGTGAGGACTAGTGTGTGAAGACTACTGTGTGAGGACTAGTGTGTGAGGACTAGTGTGAGGACTAGTGTGTGAGGGACTAGTGTGTGAGGACTAGTGTGTGAGGACTGGTGTGAGGACTAGTGTGTGAGGACTAGTGTGTGAGGACCGGTGTGAGGACCGGTGTGAGGACCAGTGTGCGAGGACCAGTGTGCGAGGACCAGTGTGCGAGGACTAGTGTGAGGACTAGTGTGTGAGGACTAGTGTGAGGACTAGTGTGAGGACTAGTGTGAGAACTAGTGTGTGAGGACTAGTGTGAGGACTAGTGTGTGAGGACTAGTGTGTGAGGACTAGTGTGTGAGGACTAGTGTTAGTTAGTGGATGCTGCTGATAGCTGATGTGATTCTGTGTGAAACATCATGAAGAGAAGTGAGAAGATCCTGCAGATCACACTTGATCTGATGAACATTCAGTTATTATAAGAGTGACTGAAGAGCTCAGAATGAACCGGATCACATCTGATGCTGGATTCTTCCTGAAGATCCTGATTTCTGGAAGAGAACTCATATCCTGTGGAGTGCACCATAAAGCTGAGTTCACAAGCTTCTTGCAGAAATATAGACATAAAAGTCATAAATATTTTTTGTATTTAGTACTGCCAACAGCATGAGATCTTTACATATTTCCTGTAAGAATTAATAAAATTCCACTCATCGTCCTGTAAAGTTAACATCACGCATTTTCTTCTTAAACTGATCATTGCTGAGACGCATTAAACATCGGCCCTCTGTTTTGTTGATTTTCAGTCACAAACAGACACATCACACATGTTTGGGGCCAGATTTCAAAGCTTCATGTGAAATAAATGCGCAAAATCCAGTTCTGGTCGTGTAGAGTTCTCCTGATCGCACAGCTTTGGTTTTCACAGCGATTGAGAATAAAAGCAGAGAGAAACCAGGAAAGACACAAGAGCGTTTGAGAGGAAAAGAAATCATATTTAATATGGAAACATTTACAGTGTGAACAGAGCAACACATGGCTAACGCTGGAAACGCCGCAGAAGGGGATGCTGGGATAGCTGGAGTCACACGTACCTAGGATTGAGAATCGAAAATCAATTCCAGAGTCAGATACTTGTTGTAAAATTAAAATTTCAATTCCACCTATCAATTCCTGTGTGTGCATCTTTTATTTTTAGCTGGTGAAAAGGTGCTGTTAAACATGTATTTGTCTTTGAGTCATTCAAGAGATTAATTCAAACACACTGAATCATCCAGTAATGAAACGAGTCAATCCCGAGTGAGTCACTGAATCATTCATTCAAGCGATTCATTCAAACACACTGAATCATCCAGTAATGAAACAAGTCAATCCCCAGTGAGTCATTGAATCATTCCATTCAGAAATTCCATCAGATTTTGTTTAGTTGTCTAATACTTTTTCTTCAGAATTGTGAGAGAACTAAAACCTCTATTTAAAAAAAAATAAAAATTCTAAATTTATCCAGAGTTGTGTAGCTCTATATTACACACAAACAGCTCTTAATCAAGTCCAGTTTTTATTCAGCAGGCTGATTTTTATTCATGGCGTTCAGCAGCAATTAAATGTTTTGCAAAAAGAGACAAAAATTTGTGACCCTGGAGCACAAAAGCAGTCTTAAGTCGCTGGGGTATATTTGTAGCAATAGCCAACAATACATTGTATGGGTCAAAATTATACATTTCTCTTTTATGCCAAAAATCATTAGGATATTAAGTAAAGATCATGTTCCGGGAAGATATTTAGTAAATGTCCTACCGTAAATATATCAAAACTTAATTTTTGATTAGTAATATGCATTGCTAAGAACTTAATTTGAACAACTTTAAAGATGATTTTCTCAATATTTTGTTTTTTTTTGCACCCTCAGATTCCAGATTTTCAAATAGTTGTATCTCAGCCAAATATTGTCCGATCATAACAAACCATACATCAATGGAAAGCTATTTATTCAGCTTCAGATGATGTATAAATCTCAATTTCAAAAGATTGACTGGTTTTGTGCTCCAGGGTCACAAATGTTTGATATCTAAATCTTTGACTTCATTGTTTTAAACACATTGGAGCCGAAACAGGGAACTGATGAAATTGAAACGATACCCAGCTCTAGACGTACCGCAGGAAGCCGAACTTCTTGCGCAGCATCTCCTCACGCGGCCGCAGGTTAAACAGCTCCTCTGTGAGCGGAGACACCCATCGGTCCGTGTGAAACACCTTCTCACCGAGCTGAAACACATCAGACATACGCTAAAGACCAGCTCACCACAACACTCACACTCACACTCACACACACACAGCTGGAGGAGCCAGAACCTTCCAGCCGGGAACGTCCTTCATGATCACAGCCTCCTCCTCCAGATTCTCCCGCAACATCCGCAGCGTCCTGCAGAGAAACACAGAAACTCTCATCACAACCACAGTCACCAAAACTATCACAGTACTGTTCAAATGTGCTGGAGATGTTCAAAAACTACCGACACATAAATCACTTCACCCAGTTTTATATTTAAAATCAACAAACAACAAATAAAATGACTTTTTGTTTGCATAAACTCACTAAACACTAAAGCAACAGCATGATTTTAAACGACATCATGACATCAACAGTTCATCTAATAACATGTACGAAATGTTCAAATAAAGCTTTGAAAAGCTTCATAAAATAATAAACCTCACTTCTCAGCCTTTAAATAAAGAAAAGGGTTAAGTCTAGTGCTGTCAAACGATTAATCACATCTAAAATAAAAGTTTTTGTTTGCATAGTATATGTGTGCGCTCTGTGTATATATAAATACGCACCTATGCATCTATATATTTAAGAAAAATACGTTACGTTTATATATTAAATATGTTTATATATAATATGAATTATCTGAATATAAATGCATGTATTTTCAAAATATATACTGTGTGTGTGTGTATTTATATATACATAAGAAATATACACAGAACACACACACATATATGATGTAAACAAAAACCTATCGCTCTTAATTGTTTGAAAACAAGACAGAAACACTGAGGAAGATATTCATGTTTGTGTGACCCTGGAGCACAAAACCACAAAAAAGGATCAATTTTCTGAAATTGAGATGTATGCATCATCTGAAACTGAATAAATAAGCTTTCCATTGATGTATGGTTTGTTAGGATAGGACAATATTTGGCTGAGATACAACTATTTGAAAATCTGGAATCTGAGGGTGCAAAAAAATCTAAATATTGAGAAAATCGTCTTTAAAGTTGTTCAAATTAAGTTCTTAGCAATGCATATTACTAATCAAAAATTAAGTTTTGATATATTTACGGTAGGAAACTTACAAAATATCTTCATGGAACATGATCTTTACTTAATATCCTAATGATTTTTGGCATGAAAGAAAAATGGATAATTTTGAGCCATACACTGTTTGTGCTCCAGGGACACATATAATGCCATAACTTTCTGAATTTAGACTTGATCTGTTGCTCACCGGCGGTCGTGCTCGGCCTGCAGCAGCGGCAGTAAAGAGATGCGCGCCTCCAGCTCCTCGATGTGCAGCCGTCTGTCGGAGGAAGAGCAGAAGCTCTCGTCAGGACTCTCAGACTCGTCTCACAGACACTCAGTGTGACGCTCACTCACCTGCGCTCGCGGTTCCAGCGGAAGAGCCTCCAGTATCCGAACACCATGAGCCCCACGCCCACGCCGAACATACTGTAACCTGAGGACAACTACAATCACGAGCCACCCAATCAAAGAAAGTCACTCTTTATCTGGAAATTCTCAGTGTACTCTGCCGTTCAGAAGTTTGGGATCAGTCAGATTTTTAATGTGTTTTAATGAAGTCTCTTCTGCTCATCAAAGCTGCATTTATTTGATTAAAATACAGAAAAAACACTAATGTGTGTGTGTGTGAGAGAGAGAGAGAGAGAGAGTGTGTGTGTGTGTG